AGATGAGGGAGATGGAGACACAAAACAATGGGCACAATAGGCCTGACTGTGAGGGGCAATATATGTCAGGAAGGTGGGGGACAGATTAGAGTGAAATGTTAAAGGGGCACTTCACTGCCCAAATCTTTTTTTAAAAATCTAAAAACAGCTTGCAAAACCTGCAGATCTCTTGTCTGAAGGCCTTCCCCTTCCAACCCCGCCCAGACTTTCTGTGGTTGTCCAATCACAGACTTCCCAAAGCAGCTCAGTGAGAGTATTTGCAAGGCAGGTTATATGGGCAATTGCTGCCTTTTGAGTTTAGCTCCTCTGAGAATGAAAGAGACTTTACTTTTTATTCAGTATCCAAGAACATGTATTCCAGGCTGGTTTCTGATACCACACATCTCAAGATCTGATATTTTAGATATTAATTAGTCTGACCATGCTCCCATAACTTTGCATATAGACAAAATGGTTTCTTTCTCCCCCAATAGGCACTGGAAACTGAGTGATTACTTATTAGATGATCCTGAAAATAGATCGCTAGCTGAAGGGATACTGAATGACTATTTTTTGGAAAATGTTTCGCATGAGGTGCCTGGCGAGGTGACATGGCATGCGCACAAGGCTTTTAAACCTTAATGCATGTATTATTATATTAAAAAATAGTTTTCAGGTAACAGTTGTCCTTTATGTATGGAAAATGGGCTTATGTGGTAGGTAAATGCTATTTACTACGCCTCATGAAAAAGGATTTCTTGAAGCTCTGCAGTTAGTTGCACTTCGTTCATGCGTCCTTGGCATAAATCCCATCCACATTTATTATAGGCTGTGTTGAGAGGCCATTTCATTTCTAGGGTGTCTCACTTGAAGAGGAAAAATAACGGCAACTTAAGAAATTTGGAAAAAGAACTGTACAACCTAAATCAGGCAAATAAATTCGGCCCATCTTCCTCCCTGTCAGCAATGATAGGGGAGATTAAAAAAAATGTCACACAATAAATTTGGATCGAACTACTCTCATGGTGAGACGCCTCAAGAAAGTGTTTTATTTAAAGGGTAACAAGGCACCAACTCTTCTGGCATCAAAACTCCGGCAGGTGAATGCCCATTCTAAAATTGCGTACTTAATAGATGACCAGGGACAAAAAATATTTCACCCGACCAATTCGTCAAATATTATAGTGTACTTTATAATTTGGAATCTGATGTAAATCTCACCCAGCCGTCTAAGGCGACTATTATTAATTTTTTAGACAGGTTTTCGTTGCCTCAGCTGTCTTCTGATAATTTGGAAAAATTAAAGCATGATATATCTGAAGCAGAGATAGCCGAGGCAATTAAGCTCATGTCATCTGGAAAGGCCCCTGGTCCTGATGGATTCACCATTTTATACTATAAGACCTTTGCAGAAACTTTAATTCCTCATATGTCCAAATTAGTCAACTCCTATAAGTCGTGGGGGGGGGGGGATGCCAGGAGAGTCTTTGTCCGCACAGATTGTCACCTTGCCAAAACCGGGTAAAACTCTTGACAGATGCTCTAATTTTAGGCCCATATCCCATATTAATAACGACACAAAAATTTATTCTAAGATACTAGCGAACCGATTAACTAATCTAATACCTTTATTGATCAATAATGACCAGGTGGGTTTCGTGAAAGGTAGACAAGCACCTGATGGAACGAGCCGGTTCATTAACTAAATTCAGCATATCAATTCAACAAGAACTCCTTCTCTGCTCCTTTCATTGGTTGCAGAGAAGGCGTTAGACAGGGTACATTGGGGATATCTATGGAAGACACTGAGCAGATTTGATATTCCACAATCTTTTATTACTATAGCGTGCACCCACAGCTCATGTATCGGCCTCGGTTTTCCAATCCAGAACGTTTTCTCTAACTAATGGGACGCGTCAAGGCTACCCCTTATCTCCAATTCTCTTTGTCCTGGCAATGGAACCCCTGGCCGAACTGATTAGGACGACCCCAGAAATCGCAGGTATTAATATCAAGGGATCCACTCATAAAATAGGGTTATTTCCAGATGATGTAATTCTAAGACTCAAAAACCCAAAAGACTCTCTGAAATCTCTCAATACTATTCTACTCCAGTTTGGAGAAGTGTCTTATTATAAATTAAATGTATCTAAGACCCAGGCCCTACCTTTCCACTTGCATAAATCTGATATGGATGAATTAAGACTATCATATCGATTGGAGGAGGGATTACCTGGAATATTTAGGAATTAACTTATGCAAACATTTACACAATATGCATATTCATAACTTGAAGAGAGCATGGCCGGACCTACAAAAGGAGATGGAGAGATGGGGTGGTATGGCGTTATCGTGGTTAGGAAGAATTGCCTCCATAAAAATGTCAATCCTCCCAAAAATCTTGTACTATTTTAGAACTATCCCCTTATCTGTTCCAATGTCCTTCTTTAATAAAGTACATTCAATAATGCTAAAATTTATTTGGAACAACAAACCCAGCAGAATTAAGCTTACATCCCTGCAGCACCATAAACTTAATGGGGGCACTGGTGTCCCTAATTTCAGAAAGTACTACTTTGCAACTAACGCTTCAGCGGTTGTAAGCTTTAATAGTCAAAAAAATAGGCAGAGATGGATGGAAATGGAGGAATCTAGCATTCTCCCCTTTCAACTCGGGAAATTACCCTGGCTAAGCCCTGTAAGGAGACCTGGAGTAACTAAAATGTTTATGACCACTAAGACCACACTTAAAGCCTGGGATATAGTATTTAAAAACAACTGTCACGTGACAAAACTATATAGAGCCATGCCAATTGAATCTTTAAAATACTACATCCCGACCTTAAACTCATCGTTACTTCAAGAATACCAACTGTATCATATAGACAACTTTTTCCATGGAAACTCTATTCTGTCGTATGAAAGATTACAATTTAAGCATAGACTGGTGACCGAATGTAAAGATGAATGTGAGTTGGTGATTGAGAAAGTAAAAGAAAAATCCAACATACCGGAAACCAACAAAAATTCTAAAGCACTAGAAATATCACAACTAGAAAAGCTATTTTTGCATTACCCGAATAGGAAGGGCATTATATCTATCTATTATATGTTACATAACAATAAACAATCAATTAAACTGAAGCATATGTTATCTTGGGAGACGGAGCTGGGTTCCCAATATAAGTTGGAGAATTGGTTCCGTTTTTTTTCAGCTTTGAAGGGCCTATCTTTCTGCTCCAACCATCACGAAAACCACTTTAAAATTCTGTATCGATGGTATCTGGCCCCGTCTAAATTGCATAATATGAATAATAAGTACAGTGATAGGTGTTGGAGAGACTGCGGAGGACTGGGCAACATGGCCCACATATGGTGGTTTTGCCCAAGACTGACTAGATATTGTAAAATGATACATGACTTAATTATTAAGGTGAACAGTAACATACGTAGCTTCACATCTGAACTGGCTCTATTTAAAAAATTCCCTGAATCCATCAATAAAATTGATAGAATTATAGTAGGCCACATTCTGATCACTGCAACCACATGCCTACCTAGATATTGGAAATCTAAAAACACACCCTCAGTTAAAGAAGTACTAACACGTACACTAGAAAACAAATCATACGAATTATCACATAGAAATAACACACATATATTTGCACAATTGAAATACCACTGGGATCAATGGGAAACCGATGTCAAAAAAACATATAACTTTTAATAACTTGTTATGGAATGTTTTTCAACTTAAGTGCCTTGTAAATTAACATACTTACCGTTATAATGGATGTATACCCCCTTTTTCCCACTTTTAAGTTTTCCCTTCCTTTCCTCTTCCCTAATATATAGTTTTTTTATTACTTGTAAAATCTGCAAAATCTTTCAATAAAAATTATTTGAAAAGAATTGAAACACTGGTGGGAGGGAGGTAAAAGGGGTGGGCCAGTATAGTGGCCGCGTCACAAGCTTTGCCCCAAAGGGACGAACCCAACAGGAAAGGGGGCAGTCCGACTGAGTTAATGGCAGGTCAGCCTGTGTGAATACACATCAGGCTGAAAGTCCATAACTCATGCTGACCCACTGAGGGCAAGACATGCAGGGAGCACTGGTTAAGTGTTCCTTGCAGGGTCCTATTGCCTTGAGTCTGTCTAATGATGCACCCATGCTATGAATGTTGGGGACAGTTCCCTGATATCCCCAAAAGCAAGACAACATGGAACTAAGGCGGAAAAGTGGAAAAGAACTCAAAAATCAAGACTGTCCTGACAAACTTTTTGAGTTTTGCTTTTGAGGCATGCATCTAGGTCCCCACCTTGTGTGTGTGTGTGTGTGTGTGTGTGTCTGTCATATAAATTAATAAAATAGATGATTTGCTTAACTTTTTAATTTTTTTATTTTTTTTTGCTTATATTTAATTTAAGAAAGAAAACATAAATACCTACACTACGTATGCCTGCACCTTCAGTTATGCTATGACAAGTGTTGTCTTAGAAATGTACTAATCTCATTGTAGCATTATGCTATCGATAATATACTTGTTTTAGACATCTTTGTAAGTTTTCATAGATCAAATATTAATATATATTTTTTTTTAAGTTCCAGCTTAACATGGCATTAACAGACCTTATACGTATATCTCCACAAAGGTTTAGTGCCTCTTGAATGCACGGTTATGTCACATTGCTTCACCGCCTTGCCTTTTTTGGGAAGTCTAGTTAGTTCTTTAAGAGAATAGAAAAAAAAAAAAACATTAAGAAATACATGAAAGGAATCGTATCAGACAGCTTGTGACGGACTAGGCTGTGCCAAAAAGAAAACAAGTCACCCAGAGAAAAAGAGCCGGCCAAGCTGAAATACACTGGAATTACAATTTACAGATATAAACAGCATGTACTAAAACTCTAGTGGACTGGATAGTTACTAGTTAGTGACTTTAAATTGTACACTGCCAAATAATGGGTACTAATGGACTGGAATAAGACCTTTAATCTGGATCCAATTAAAACAATGATATAATATTGCTTTGCGACTGAGAAGTCATTCCAGGTCCATTGGACTTCACATGAACAAGTTGGATGTATTGTATCTCAGAGAACATTGATGCCTATCTTCTAACAGTGAATGGATGGAACACATTGAAGTAATACATTTGTAACACTTTTGGTAAGACAACATCAGCAACATCACAAGCTGTAAAAATATTATAAAAAATCCATGTAGTATTATTCAGGAGACAATAAATATAGTACTTGTAATTATCACAAGAGAAAAAGTATGTTAAAAAGACAAATATTTTCCATCTAGCTAAAGATACGTAAGGTCCACCAATATTCTCATTATGACAATAAATTAAATTAATGATAGTTAATTGGTTATTAAATGTTTTGTTTAGAGGTAAATGAAGAACACAGTACAAATATTTTAACATAAAATCTAAGAAGGTCATGATAGGCTTACCACCCATTTCATGATGTTTTGTTTGTTTATGTCATTCTTGTTGAAACTGTTCTGAGAAGCTAGAGTAGGGTAATCATATAATGTGTATATATTCCATTAGTGCAATTAATATAAGCACTTATTGTTATGTGGTGCATTGCACATGTTCAGTGAAGAAATTCCACCTTCCCTGGACAAATGTCCATACACTAAACAGTTGCAACATTAAGACCACCTACCAAACATTGTGTAGGTCCCACTCATGCTGCCAAAACAGCTCTGATACATCAAGGCATGGGCTCCACAAGACCTCTGAATGTGCCCTGTAATATCTGGCACTAAGTCAGTAGCGTCAGATCTTTTAAGTCCTGCAGGTTGCGTGGTGGGGCCTCCATGGGTCAGATTTGTTGTTCCAGCACATCCCATAGATACCTTTGTGCTACGAAAAACAGCCCTGAGGTGTCCAGGCATGGATTTCACAAGACCTCTGAATGCATCATGTGGCACCAAAACATTAACAGCAGATCATTTCAGTCCTGCAAGGTGAGGACTCCATGAATTGGATTTGTTGTTCCAGGACATTCCACAGATGCTCAATTGGATAGAGATCTGGGGAATTTGGAGGCCAAGGCAACACCTTGAACTCTTTCTCATATTCCTCAATCCATTCCTGAACATGTTTTGCAGTGTGGCAGGGTGCATTATCCTGCAGAAAAACTGCCAACAGGGAACACCACTTCCTCCACAGGGTTTACGTGGTCTGTAACAATTTCTAGGTAGGAGGTAGGTGTCAAAGTAGCATCCACATGAATGCCAGGAACCAGAATATTGCCCAGAGCATAACACCGCCTCATCCGGCCTGCCTACTTCCTCTACTGCATACTGCTGCCACCTGTTCACCAGGCAAATGACACACAGACCTGGACATCCACCTGATGTAAATGAAAGCATCAGATCAGGCAACCTTCTGCCATTGCTCCATGGTCCAGTTCTGATGTTCCCTTCCCCAATGAACTTGTTTTTGGCAGTGGACAGGAGTCATCATGAGCAATCTGACTGGTCTGCAGCCCCATAAGCAGTAAACTGTGTGTTCTGACACAGGCATTCATGTGGATTACGTTTTTTCAGCAATGTGTGCAACAGTAGCTCTTCTGAGTGATGCAACAAGACAGGCTAGCCTTCATTCCATGCATCAATGAGACTTGGGCACCCATGACTCTGACACCTCCTTGCACCTCCTTGTTCCTTGCACTGCTTTTGGTAGGTACTAACCATTGCAAGGCTTGCAATTTTGGAGATGCTCTGATCAAGTCATCTAGCCATCACTATTTGGCCCTTGCCAATGTCACTCAGATGTTTTCTCTTGCCTATTTTCTTGCTTCCAACACATAAAATTCAAGAACTGACTGTTCACTTGCCGCCTAAAGTAACCCCCTCCACCCCCCTTGAAAGGTGCAATTGTAATGATATAATCAATGTTATTCACTCCATCTGTCAGTGATTTCAATGTTGTGGCAGATCCGTGTGTAAGTATATATTTAACTGTGTTCGGTTTTTGACAGCTTGTCATATAATTCAAGCTAATATCACTGGCAAGATCACTGGCAACTGTTATTTAAAGTGACTTTGCTAATGAATTGTATTGATTTAATAGGGACCAGTAATAGGCTTTATTGAATTAGGTTTCAGATTAAAACATTGGTTTGGTCACTGTAACTAAATGCTTAGTTCTCTGATTTGAAAGGGTTGTTTTTCTAACTCCTGATAGACTTTGCCTGATGTAATTTTGTTGTATAACATTAGAATGACTCTGTATGTAACTCTTGTCCAATAATTTTTCTACAATGAAACTCCATGAATTTCTTATTTTACACCTACCTGCTGATGTCCATTGGCCTCTGAGTGTCAAATTATTTCTTCTTAACACATTGGATCACTCCATGACTTTGGTATTGAGCAAAAAAATGTAATTCAAAATTTCAACACCTTCATGCCATGTAAGATTGGGCATCGCTGTTCATGTCCGCAACACAAAGCTCAAGTAGCTTTATTTCATTAAATTAAATTGTTTACAGAGTCAAAGCACAGTCACTTCCTTTCCTTTCAGCACAACATGTTTTGCACGAGTTGAATGAGCAATAAACGCAGACTGATGGTTGTTTATCAGTTCACATGTTTTTGACAGAGCCCCAACATTTGTATGTGGCAATAGTACTACAACCATCTGTTGTCTTTGTCCATTGTAAATGTAGTTGAGTGGCCCACTGTTAACTTGAAAATGAATACATAATAAAATAAATATCTTTGGAGGAGGCTCCATTTCACTAGGGAAAGCAGTGACCCAACAGTAAATAATTTATTGTCATGATGAATATATAATGTCTGAAAACAACATATGAATCTAAACCAAGAGACCCACTGCTTTAGTTTTCTTCGTCCATAACATATATAAAAACAGCCAGTTTATGCAGGTCCCATTGACTTATTTGTGTGTGTGTGTGTCTGTATGTGTGTCTTGTGTGTGTGTGTCTGTATGTATGTGTGCCTGTTTGTTATAGTGGGCTACAGTAAGTGGGCTACCTAGCTCAGTCTTCCTACTGGGCATTGCTATAAGTAAGGTTAAAAAATAGAAAAAAGGAAAAAAAAGGTGGGGAGGGGAAATGAGGAGGGAGAAGAGGGGAGCTGACGCACAGATGAGAAATCATATTATGCGCAAACAGAGAAGTCGTCTGAATATCACCGAAAGAGGAGACCTTTGTTTGTTCCTTACGAAAATCGAACCAGATATCAAATATTTAGTCTTGCAGCATTAACCTCAAGGATCTCATTAATCACTAGTAAAGGTAATTTCAATTTACTTTATTGTTTTCTCATTAAACTTTATAGAAACATAGAAACTTAGAAACATAGAATGTGACGGCAGATAAGAACCGGCCCATCTAGTCTGCTCAATTTTCTAAGTACTTTCATTAGTCCCTAGTCTTATCTTATAGTTAGGATAGCCTTATGCCTATCGCACGCATCCCTAAACTCCTTTACTGTGTTAACCTCTACCACTTCAGCTGGAAGGTTATTCCATGCATCCACTACCCTCTCAGTAAAGTAATACTTCCTGATATTATTTTTAAACCTTTGTCCCTCTAATTTAAGACTATGTCCTCTTGTTGTGGTAGTTTTTCTTCTTTTAAATATAGTCTCCTCCTTTACTGTGTTGATTCCCTTTATATATTTAAATGTTTCTATCATATCCCCCCTGTCTCGTCTTTCCTCCAAGCTATACATGTTAAGATCCTTTAACCTTTCCTGGTAAGTTTTATCCCGCAATCCATGAACCAGTTTAGTAGCCCTTCTCTGAACCCTCTCTAAGGTATCAATATCCTTCTGAAGATACGGTCTCCAGTACTGTGTACAATACTCCAAGTGAGGTCTCACCAGTGTTCTGTACAATGGCATGAGCACTTCCCTCTTTCTACTGCTAATACCTCTCCCTATACAACCAAGCATTCTGCTAGCATTTCCTGCTGCTCTATTACATTGTCTGCCTACCTTTAAGTCATCAGAAATAATCACCCCTAAATCCCTTTCTTCATATGTTGAGGTTAGGACTCTATCAAATATTCTGTACTCTGCCCTTGGGTTTTTACATCCAAGATGCATTATCTTGCACTTATCCACATTAAATGTCAGTTGCCACAATTCTGACCATTTTTCTAGTTTACCTAAATCATTTGCCATTTGGCTTATCCCTCCTGGAACATCAACCCTGTTACATATCTTAGTATCATCAGCAAAAAGACATACCTTACCATCAAGACCTTCTGCAATATCACTAATAAAAATATTAAAGAGAATGGGTCCAAGTACAGATCCCTGAGGTACCCCACTGGTGACAAGTCCAAGCTTCGAATATATTCCATTAACTACAACCCTCTGTTGCCTGTCACTAAGCCACTGCCTTACCCATTCAACAATATTGGAATCCAAACTTAAAGATTGCAGTTTATTGATAAGCCTTCTATGTGTCAAAAGCCTTACTGAAATCTAGGTAAGCAATGTCTACTGCACCACCCTGATCTATAATTTTAGTTACCCAATCAAAAAAATCAATAAGATTAGTTTGGCATGATCTCCCTGAAGTAAACCCATGTTGTCTCTGATCTTGAAATCCATGTGTTTTTAGATGTTCATCAATCCTATCCTTTAACATGGTTTCCATCACTTTCCCACTACTGAAGTAAGGCTTACTGGCCTATAGTTGCCCGACTCCTCCCTATTACCTTTCTTGTAAATGGGCACAACATTCGCTAACTTCCAATCTTCTGGGACTACTCCTGTTAACAATGATTGGTTAAATAAATCTGTTAATGGTTTTGCTAGTACACCACTAAGCTCTTTTAATAGCTTTGGGTGTATTCCATCAGGTCCCATTGACTTATTTGTCTTTACTTTTGACAGTTGAAATAGAACCTCTTCCTCTGTAAACTCACGTGTAATAAATGACTCATTTATCCTTTTTCTCAACTGAGGTCCCTTTCCTTCATTTTCATCTGTAAATACAGAACAAAAATATTAATTGAGGCAGTCAGCTAGACCTTTATCCTCTTCTACATACCTTCCTTCTTTTGTTTTTAATCTAACTAATCCTTGTTTTACTTTTCTTTTCTCATTTATGTATCTAAAAAATGTTTTATCCCCTTTTTTACTGACTGTGCTATTTTCTCTTCTGTGTGTGATTTGGAAGCTCTTATAACTTACTTAGCCTCTTTCTGCCTAATCTTATAGATCATTTTGTCTTCCTCACTCTGGGTTTTTTTTTTATAATTCCTAAATGCTAACTTTTTGTTTTTAACTATTTTGGCCACATCTGTGGAGTACCACAGTGGTTTCTTGAATTTTTAGCTTTTACTGACAACCCTAATGCAATTTTCTGTTGCCTTCAATAGTGCAACTTTTAAATAATCCCATTTCTCTTGGAATCCATTTAAATTGCTCCAGTCTGATAATGACTCCTCTACCCATATTCTAATTTTAGAAAAGTCTGTTTTTCTAAAGTCTAAAACTTTTGCTTTTGTGTGGTATGACTCAGTCACTGTTCTTATATTAAACCACACTGACTGGTGATCACTGGATCCTAAACTTTCACCTACAGTAATATCTGATACCAAATCTCCATTTGTTAACACTAAATCTAGTATGGCCTCTTTACGAGTTGGCTCCTCAACAACTTGTTTTAGACACAATCCCAGTAGGGAGTTTAGAATATGTGTGCTCCTGGCATAAGTAGCTAACTTTGTTTTCCAATTTACATCAGGAAGATTAAAGTCACCCATGATGATAACTTCCCTCTTCGTTGTCATTTTAGCTATTTCCTCAACTAGTAGATTATCTAACTCTTCAATTTGTCCTGGGGGCCTATAAATTACACCTACATGAGTTACTGTGTGATTACCAAATTCTAACGTAACCCAAATGAACTCTATGTTTGCCTCACTAACTTTTATTAGGCTAGATTGTATGCTATCCTTCAAATACAAGACCACCCCTCCCCCTTTCTTACCTTCCCTATCTTTCCTATATAAAGAGTACCCTGGTATTGCTATATCCCAGTCATTTTTTTCATTATACCATGTCTCAGTAACAGCGACTAAATCTACACTATCAGTTGCCATTATTGCCACAAGTTCATGGATCGTATTCCCTAAACTGTGAGCATTTGTAGACATGACTCTAAGCTTATAATTTTTTAACACTTGCTACAGGCACCTTCTGTCCTTGTTTTGGGGTACAATTGGATTGATGTTGTATCACCCTTTTGCCCCCCTCCCCCCCCCTCCTAGTTTAAATACATCTAGCACAGGGTTGCCAAACATGCGGCCCCCCAGATGTTGCTGAACTACAACTCCCATGATTCTTTCAATGAAACAGATAGCCAGGGAATCATGGGAGTTGTAGTTCAGCAACATCTGGGGGGCCGCATGTTTGACAACCCTGATCTAGCAAAACCTCTGAACTGCTCACTGAGAACATTTGTTCCCTTTTGAGAAAGATGCAAACCATCTTTTTTGTACAGTTTATTTCCATTCCAAACAGAGCTACCATGAGAAATAAAGCCAAATCCTTGCTCCCGACACCATTCACCAAGCCACAAATTAAAGTCCCTAATACGCATCCCCCTGTCGTTCTGAGTGTTATGCACAGGCAGAACTTCAGAGAATGACAGTGTGGAAGCAACCTGCCGTATAATAAAATAAAAAACATTATAAACATGCATTAAGTAGAAATAAAAAGATAAATGTACGTACATTTATTTTTTTTTACACGCCCTCCTTTCTAAAAAATATTCTGCACTTGCGCGAAAACTGGTGGGCGGTAAGGATGTTTTTCCCATCAAGAAAGATGCATTACTGGGCGGTAGGTAGAAAAAGGTTGACTACCACTGGTTTATACCAAGCACCATTCTCAGTTGCAAGATATTACAAGGACTATGCTCAATTGAATGAACAATCTAAAGGAAGATATTAAGAGTTAATAATCAAAGGTAAATAATATTATAAGTTTGTACACATTATATGACATGGAAAGAAGAGAATGAGAAGCTAAGATTAGAGATGGATACATTCCCTTTGTGTCTCATGATCCATGGAACTGGTTGTTTGCGTATTTACGCATGCTTTTCCAACTAATTCTCAGTGGTTAGCCTGCTTGTGAAGATGGACATTACTTGCATCGATTTTCCAGTTTATAAATGCATGTAAGCATCATTTTATATATGGCTGAAAATGTCTAGTGGCAGTTGGAGGTCAGACACATGAGGCCAGAAAACCAAATTGTAATGTATTTATTCACAGTTTATTTTTCTTGGCTATCCACTATGTTGTGCTGGATACATATATCTTTATAATTACTGGCAATACATGAGAAGTCTTAGCCTGCAGCATGTAGACTTTATTTGCAGAGGAATCGTTATGAATTCAAAAGAAGTCCAGGACCTGGAAAAAACATGTTGGACTCTCTAATTTGTTTTAACTGTATATTGTTTCTTATTTTATTCCATTGATCTTTTTTGCTGCTTCTCCTGTGGAAAAGTTCTAAATTTTTGGCTCCAGAGATCCACTGATGGTGAAGGCATACAGTTTATTTTATCTTGTTTGTAAGTGTAACCAGTAATTAAATATACTTTTATACCTTACATTATTGCACTATTGCTTCTTTTTTCCCTTGCAATATTAGAATTTCCATACTACTGGAAGTGGATCTACATTTAGAGATAACCCTCTGATGGTGATATGCCTACTACTGAATACCATCTTGTGAGCGCTCTACCTCCCACTCCCTCCTCTTTATATCTGTAGCTGTATTACACTATTGTTGGTTTTGTTTTGTTTTTCATTTTTTTTTGTAGGTTTATCATTAGTATTATTATCAGGTTGTATTTATTATCTATTACATATTGTGTAGGTTATTTATACCTTTATTCACTCATGTGTGCACATTAAAAATCAAAGTTTCTACTTTTGTTATACTTTTGTATACTTTGTAAATTAAAAAGCATGTCTGTGTTTATTAAATAAAACATAGACTTTTCAAAAAGTCAATGGGCAATTGACTACTCACTCGCCTTTTCCACCGAGAGAAGAACACCAAGAGAAGAACAAAGCTTTTCCTTTCCGGTCTGTATCCTTAGTGACCAGACTTTAGACTTGTGCATGGTGAGAACATTTGGCTTGGCCAAACTATGTTTTCCAAAAAACAGAACATATTTTGGGATGCTCAAATTTTGTCCGAATGCCGAATACAATGTTCATAATTTTGGCAGCAATCTAAGGCCTACTCTTATGCGATTAACCTACTAATATCAAAGGTGCCTCATTCTAGGGCCCAATTTAACCTTGCAATGCAGACCCTGGAGGATAGATTTCCCAGGTAAGTGGATTGATCTCATAGGACCAGGCATTAGGCTACTAGAGTAGGACCTGCCAAGAATAGGGTACGTTGACGTTGTGGCAGGCTTATGCAATGTATAATCATATACTGTAACTAAACTCCCATTATTTTGATGTTTTACAACAAGTTGTGGTATCACAATGTCACGTTCCCCGTAATCCAAGGATCCCATAGGGAGTCAGTTCAGCAGCAGTTCAGAGCAATTACCAACTTGTTTGTGAAGACAAGCTTTAAGTATATTTTTCAGCTTCCTGGCTATGGTTGCTACATCATTCTGAAGTGTATTACCAGGAGCAACTTCCTGTTTTTTCAGGAAGGAATCCATCTTGTTTATGAGGTGAGTGACCAAGGGAATAACCTATCCCAAACTGGCATTACGGTGTCACTTCCCAGTGTGTGGGAATTCCTATTTTCCCTTGTTCCTGTTTAGGAGTTAGCTAGCCCTCATACTACAGTATAAATGCTTGGCAATTCTCATACAGCGATCAAGAATCATTTGTACCTTTGTGTTGATTTGTGATTACAGGGATGTCGGATGTGGAATGTTTGCAATCAGTTTTTTTCTATTTTGTTAGACCTGCCAAATAGCAAAATGAAAGCAAAAATACCCATGTTCTAACTGTAGCAAAGTTACAAAATATTCCCCAAACAGCCATTTTTATCTTCAATTTTCCATTTAGATTTAATTTGTGAAAAATGCAGAGTTTAGGAAATAGCACTTTAAATGTCCATGGCTCTAGACAGAAAACTTACTTTTTGTAAGTGATATTATTTTGTGTGAGGAAAAGTAGATTTGGCTACCACTTTAGTCCATTTAACAAGTATATATTTGCACCATTCAACTACAAGATGAAAGATGTGTGCAGAACAGAAACCATCTTGCAGAGCTTTGACCACAGAGCCCGATGAAAGTTTCCCAAGACCCTAGACAGGGTGCCTGATTAGGACTACCTCCAAGAGCACTTGGCTCTGTTTCTGTGAGTGGTGTGTGTTTACTCATTGTTGTGTGTTAGAGTATGTGTAGTGTTGTGTGTGGAGGAGGGAATGATCGGTATGGGGGAAGGCTGATTTTGCCTGTATATGCTGGTGGTGTGTGTATGTGGTGGCTGAATTTTGTGTTTGTGTAAGGGAGTGTGAGTGTTGTGTGTGTCTATGCCCCTAACTTGGCTTACCTTCCATGATCCTCCAGTGGAAGGGGAGCTCCATCGTCTGCACCAATATCAGGTACGTATCAAAACACCTAGTTAACAGCATTTTAAAAAAATTCCAGGGACACTTTGAGAGAGAGTTATGAAAATGTTGCTGACACTTTACCATCTAATTCGCAAGAAATATTTTTCTCACCTGTTACTATTTTTTTGTGCCCCATCATTTCTGAATATACATCATAAGTCTGTGAGACATCAGATTGTTTAAATATAGGAGTGTTTTTGTATGGCATAGGTGTGTGAACGCAGGGGTGTTTTGTGTGTCGTGTTTGCATTGGAATGCACAGTTGTGTTTCTGTGTAGAGTTTTGTGTTTGACTATAGACATGTTTTTAACCATAAAAACTATAGCACATTCCCTGTGGTTGCTGTGTGTGGAGAGCAGAAGGACCACTTTTAGAAAGTCTCTTCTGCTCTCCCTTGACAGTCAGTTCTTTGCCGAAGAATTGACTGACAGCTCAGATAAATCTATACATTTGCTACAAAATCTGCTAGCACAATATATAGATGAAATGTTATGCTCTTTCAAAAAAGCACAAGTTGTACGTACTGTGACAGGTATGCTTTAAAATATATACACAGATATATTAATTTTTATATACAGTATATACATCTATAATAATCTCAGGAAATTGCATGAGCAAAACAGTTGTACAAAAACACATACACACACTTACAGATGGACCCATAAAGACACACGTTCACTGATTAATTTAGACACATCCAAGGATCCGTACACACTGACTGTATGCTCACCGGCAGTGGCCTGGATGTTTCACTGGCTTTACCCTTTCTCTAAGCTGTCCCTACAGCAATCAGTTGAGCAATCAGGTGTATTATTTTGTTATCCTGCTTTTTTTTTTTATATGACCCTCGAAAGAAATTTAACAAAATATTATGAGTGGGCTAGCAGACACATCCCTGGGATGATGAAGACTGGAAGTGTGCTTGTCCTTGTTACCTAGTGGCAATATGCTTAACAACCCCCTGCTTTGGATATGTGGGAAAACGGAGTTATGGGATGGGACACTGGGAATAGAAAGGAAACAGAAGTAAAATCACTGCCTTAGAATTTGGAAACTCATATTCGAATCCCAGACAAACCAGCTTGCCTTTAAGTTTTCTTTGTCTTTAAGATATATGTCCATCATCAATGGGAGCAGAAGGACACTTTATAAAGTTTCCTAAAATGCTCCTATGTCTAAGTCACCCTGCGCCCATTATAGGTGGAGGGTGTTTATAATGTGTTTGTATGCTGTTCATTGTTTTGTGTGCTCTTCTGTCCTGCAGATGAGTGTTACCAACTAAGTGGATTTGGCTATGGAGTCCCAAGTAAAACTAAAGAATGTCTTGTTAGTTCCTTTTGGAACTGGGTGTCCTGTGTGGATTTTTAGGGATCCCAGTCACAGAGTTGTTGTACCTGTTGGCTCGCTGCACGATCCCTCTGATGAATCAAGAGAGCCTCTGGTAAAGGCAATAGCAAGCACTATAAGCAAAGCTGCAGAGGAATAGGCAGAGAGGATGATACCTACGTGGAAGAAGGGCTGCAGCGGAATATGCATAGGGGACAATACCTGCCTGGAAGGAGATCTACAGCCTGGTCGAGTGGAAAAGCTGCAGTGAGACCCCAGTCAAGCCTCAGTGACTGGGGTTGAAGCACACAAGACTCCCTCCCCAACAGCTAGGAAGCGGATTGGGTGGAGGTAAATTGGTCGGAGTACAGGAGTTCCGAGACAGGTACCATATCTAGTAAATATAATAGACGAGGGAGTGCATGCATTTTAAGAATAAGTATTCTACCTAAACAGTTAAAATGGAGAAGATTCCATTATAATTTACTTTAAACCCTAAGAAAAATCTCAAGTATTTCAGTTTCTATAATAGAGGTGTGCAAGAAGATATAAGGTTACTAAATGAGAAAGAAAGATCATCCTCAAAAGCAGGCACTTTATATTGAAGATTATGAACCCCTATGCACTCAATAGAAAAGTGAGATTGACCTGCTTGAAGAAGAGGCTCCATAGTCAGAACAAACAGAAGTGGAGAAAGGGAGCACCCTTGATTAGCACCGTTGCCAGTAGAGAAAACAGAGGCGCAGTGGGTCCTGTTTGACCCTGAGGAAAGTCCAGAGCCGGGACTGAAACGTCGATCTCTGATTTTAACTTGAATTAAATAAAGAATTGGAATTTTAAAAGACCGGTGAGCGGCTATCATTTGGCACAATGTATCTTTGGAGTCCAGGCCTTGGCACCCGGCAATTTTAAACCTACTAAGCGTGAGTGCTGGGGATAGTGTTGTTTCTTTTTATGTAATTATATATATATATATATATATATATAAAATAAATGGTGCTCCATTTATTTTCTATTTACATATGCGCTGGAGGCACCCGGGTGGTCTCTGTTAAAAAGCTATTTAGTCAATGGTGAGTGCCTGAGTCGTGATTTTGTTATATATATATATATACATATATATATATATATATATATATATATATATATATATATATTTATATATATGTGGCCATCCAGGCGTAGACTCTTCCCTAGAGGGAATGCTGCGTAGACTCTTCCCTAGAGGGAATGCATGAAATTCTTCCAGGTTACGAGGATAAAGGTAGATACATTTAGTTCTAGATAAGTATGAATATCTTGTATAGGGGTTCCAAGAGGTATAATATTATATTACTTCTAGTTGCATTGGCAGCTGGTGAAGTTTTAAGATGGTGGGGTGCCAGACTCCTCCCCCTATACAGTACAGTGATACTCATACAATACAGAGAGCATAATATAAAGATGC